GGTTAACATAGCCTTCATGTCATTTTCTTAGTTATTGTGTTAAGACATTTATATTCTACATTTAGAAAGATTCACATGTACCCTTGTAAGATGAACCATAGGTGTGGTCCCACCAATCACCCTCCCTCCACCCATCCTCTCCCCTCCCCTCCCCTGAGACCAGCCTGAGCAAGAGTGAGACCTCATCTCTACTAAAAAAAGAAAAATTAGCTGGGCATTGTATCAGTCACCTGTAATCCCAGCTGCTTGGAAAGCTGAAGCAGGAGAATTGCCTGAATCTGGGAGATTGAGGTTCTGTGAGCTATGATGCCAGGGTACTATAGATTGGGTCAACAGAGTGAGACTCTGTCTGAAACAAACAAACAAAAAACCCCAAACATTAACACCCATTTGATGGCCTGCAAGAAATGCTTTTCTGATGAAGTCTCGACTGTCAATGTAAGGCAGCAGCCCAGTATCTCAATGTGGGAAGGCCACCCAATAAGGTCAGAATTCTAGCCAATGTAGGAACCACAGCAAGTGTCCCCAGCCTCAGATGTCACCAAGTCAGAGAACCCTGTGCTTGGCAAGGTAGCCCAATATACTACATAGGAGTTCCTATACCTTCTGTCCATTTTTTCAATGCTTGGAGACTTGAACAAGGCAGAACACATTTATTTGTTCATTCATCCACTAAACCACAGATAACGCACACATCACCCACTTTCTGCTGTATTCCTTGTTGGAAACATACAGGAGAACAACACAAGACAAAAAGTACCTGCCCCAGTGGAGCTCACACCCAGAAGGAATGACCCAGAATGAATTCAGGCTGCCAGGGGGCACATCAGCCCTTCAGAGACCTAAAGATAATTCTTATGTTCTCGTTAACATTTTTTCTTTCTTTCTTTTTTTTTTGGAAGACAGAGTCTCTCTTTGTCGCCCTTGGTGGAGTGTCATGGCATCACAGCTCACAGCAACCTCAAACTATTGGTCAAGTAATCCTCTTGCCTCATCCTCCCGAGCAGCTGGGACTACAGGTACCCACAACAATGCCTGGCTATTTTTAGAGACAAGGTCGTCTCACTCTGGGTCAGGCTGGTCGCGAGCCTGTGAGCTCAGGCAATGGCCTCCCAGAGGGCTAGGATTATAGACATGCGCCACTGTGCGTAGACCTCTTTAACGTTTTTTCCCACCGTTTTCAACCATTGAACATGATAAGTGTGCAATTCTGGTTACCCACCTCAATGTTCTTCAGCATCATGGGTTAAATGCTGCTAATACCTGAATGAAATTCAGTAGCAGAGCACAAAGCATAAGGAAGAACAGGATTGTTAGAAGGATAAGAGACAAGAGATGGCTGAGTACATAGTAAGTGCTCAGACAATGATTTATTATTATTATTCAGGCCATATTTGACAGAACTAAGAGCCTGCCAGTTGGTCAAGTTACCTATGCATAAGAGCAAGCCACTTGCTCTTTCAAAGCACATTTTTTAAAAATTTGAGCAGACCAGGCATGGTGGTTCAGGCCTGTAATCCCAGCACTTTGGGAGGCCAAAGCAAGAGGACTGCTTGAACCCAGAAGTTTAAGAGCAGGTTAGGTAACATAGCAAGATCCCATCTCTACAAAAAAAATAGAAAAATAAGGCAGGCATGGTGTCATGTGTCTGAAGTTCTAGTTACTCTAGAGGCTGAGGCAGGAGGAGCACTTAAACCCGGGAGTTTGAGGTTATAGTGAGCTATGATCCCTCCACAGCAAACCCCCCCCCCCAAATGACAAGGCTGGGTGCCTATAGCAGAGTGGCAATGGCGCCAGCCACATACATGGAGGCTGGTGGGTTTGAACACAGCCGGCTAAACAACAATGACAACTGCAAAAAAAAAAAAAAAAAAAAAAA